TCGTTTCTGGACTTTCAAGTCAATTTTTTGCCGAAAACCCACCACCAACGTAGCTCTGATACCAATTGTAGAGAAATCAACCTTCGATTTGGTGAAATCCGGGCTCAATTCAACTTCCCAATATCAAACACAATCAAACAATTAGTTCAACACACAACTACTAATATAACTCTTTGATTGCCACTTCTAACATGCCTACAAGGAACATAAGACAGTGGTGTTTGCGAAAGGGGTCACAAAGGCCGAGAGAAGACAAGGTACGAAGGAAGCAGCGGCAATTTCTCTCTTCAACATTCACAAAGCACACACGTTTCAAACACAAGACAAAAATGAGTATATATAGATTAGTTTAGGTTACCAAGACTTGGGCCTATATCATCCAACAAATGTGTCAAACTAAGATAATTGGGCTAGCACATTAAAAGGACCATCCAAGAGTTGTAGTGGTCATGAGCAACATTAACTAATTAAGTTGCTTCCAATGGCATGAGTTGTTTTTAGGTTGAGCCTATAAATTGATTGTATTGATAGTTATTTCACTCATCGGTCGATGCCTATGAAATATAATCCAAATTGTTTAACATCATTGTTCGAAATTTATTGGGTATCAAAACCCAACGATCTTAGATTATGTGGATGATATACTCATTACTGGACATGATTTGTCTCAATTTCTTCAGTTCGTGTGTGCTCTCAATTCTCAGTTTGCCTTGAGGTCTCTCAGTTATTTGAAATATTTTAGTTGTGCTTGACTTAACATAAGTAGATACTTGAGAATCTCATGTAGATACTTGAGAATCTCATGTGTAGTAATCCGAAATTATCATAGGCTAGCGAACAGTTTGTGCCCCCTATACTTTGAAAATCTACTATTGGATCACTTCACTATCTTACCATGTCCTTGCCTCATATCCAGGGGCGGAGGCAGGGGCTTTCTGGGGGGACCCGCTCCCCAGTTTTTTGACAAATTTTTTTTTATTTTAAAATTTTATTTTTTGTATTTACAATTTTATCCTTAAATGAATAAATAACTTAAACCCTACCAATCAAAAAACTTAAACTCGAAAGGAACGCTTGTAATAATTTATAATTTTGCTAAATTAAAGATTAGTACTTTCTTTTATACGTTTCTTGATTTTTTTTTTTTTAAATAATGTACATTAATTTATGTTCATTTGTTTCTTTTCTCCATCACAAAGTACCAACTTCCTTTATTTTAACAGATAATGTTTCAAAAAAAAAATTTGGGGGCCGACCCCTTACTTTGACGGGCTGGGTCCGCCCCTGCTCATATCGCCTTTTATGTGAATAAATTGAGCTAGTTCTTGCAATTGCATGCTCCTACTGTTCTTCACTGGCAGGCTGTAAAAGGATTCTTAAATATCTTAAAACACATGCTAAACTTGCTCTCCCGTGAATTGGTGTGGTAATGTTAGTGCAGATGCGTAGCTACCTGTTAGTGTTTCCCCAATGTAGTAAGCATATAAAGTTTGATGTGCATTTTTGTGTATTCAAAAATTCTCGTTAAAAAAAATTGTTTTTTCTGTGTCATCTTGTTAAAAAAAATACATATTAAAATATGAACGTGTATACATCTATGATCGTGATTATATTATAAAGTTTATGGTGCAATACACCTTTAACTTCTTTAAAATAACATAGGGACAGTTTTTACAAGGGTTCTCTTCTTTCACTAATTAAAAATTTAAAAAAAAATTAATTATTATTTTAATTCACTGAATGTAAGCTATTGCATCACAAAAATTAACACTTAAATATTATGGGTCATGTTCGCACCAATATATATATATATTGTGTTAATTAATATAGTAATAATATATTATATATTTAAACATTGAACTAACCTTTTATTAAATTGGTAATTGACCCCTAATAATATGTTGTTATAAAGCGAAATCTGATTACTTAAAGTTATTTGTCCTAAGTTTAAAAAGTTTACTTTTAATTTAAAATAAATAATTATTAAAATAAACAGTATTGGTTTTATTTAGAAGCAAGAAAAAAAAAATTTATCCATAGGGTTAAAAATTACTTAAAAGTAAATTTACTTATTTTTTCAGAATAATGTTTGGTTAGGTTGTTCTCCTTCTTTCATTGTATAAATACGGTAGGCAACAATTGGTCAAAATTCAAGTTGACTAAGTCAAAGATGCAAATTAAGATCAGATCTCTCATATGAAAAAAAATGGATTGGAGACAATGGAATCTTGAGGAATATTCCGCTGTAGTTTAATTTATGCTATTAACGGATTAATTAAGAACATGCCTTAAAACAAAAGACAAACATGGAATCATTAAAATTATTAGTCAAGCCTAAGGTGGTTTGAAGAAAAAGACATGCTTGATGTCTGTAATTAAATTGCAGAATTGTGATTAAATATAACTAATTATGTCTGATTTGATGGATTCATTAAGAAAAGTTAAAGCCAATGAGGTTAGTCATCCCGACAACCTTGAAACATACAAATAATTCATATGTACAAGTAAGTACCTGTCGAGTACATTTTTTTTTAAATTGGCACTATTCCCACTTGCAAATTGAAATATTAGAATCAAATTAAACTTCATAGGAATGAAGGAATCTTGACAACTAGTAAATATTCCAATGTGTGATGGATTTATGCATCTATAGCTGAGGGATATTATATTGATTACACGTTGTTGTGTTAGAATTACTGTACACCCACATGTTTAATGAAATAATAAAAATAAAAAAATTATAGCGTTGACCGTAAACCATTGAAAATAAAATTTATTTTGATGACAAATAGTGACCATTCAAGCTTGTGTAAACAATTGTGTCATTCACGATATTCTACGTACGACAAGTGATATAGATCGAGACCTTTCAAACCCTCGTACTCAATCGTGAGTATCTAAGTTCAAACTCTTCAAATAAGTAGAAATTGCAACAATAGAGCACTTATCTGAGTTTTGTTCAGCCAAACTTCGAATTAGCAAAATTTATGATTTATTTTATATAAATAAGTAAAGCAAAAAAAAAAAGAAAAAGTGCAATATCTTACGCCTTCCCAACGGCAACAAGCACTTGGCCGATCTTAAAAGTAGAAGTTGCAAATTGCGAAACATAATTATACGAAATTAAGATTATTGGGCCACGTCGAATTAGTGCGAGCATGCCCTGGAAAATGTCCACCAAATGTTGCATTATACGTGGCTGGTCAAGATAACATCCAATGAAAAGGAGTTGCCCAGATAAAATGATTAACTCACCTCATATTTGAGCTTAACCCTGTCAGCATCCATTGATGTTGGAGAATCCTAAAGATCCAATATAGGAACAATCAAGAAAATGATAATCTTGTCGAATCAATTGATATTGGAGTTCTTAATGTGACGAAATAATTTGTCGAAGAAATCGTATCAGCATCCATTTATGTTGTCCCAAGAGGAATCCAAAGTTATTTACAGCTTTAGCACTATATGGATTTTGTATGAAATTTTATGTGTCAACAACCATAAACTTTATTTTAAATTTTATGTCCCAAGAGGAATCCCAATATTATTATCGTTTGACAAACTGAAATTAAATTAATAGAATCTTAATCAACTTGATATAATTAAATTTACAATCTCAATCGATGCAAGATTTTGAAGAGTTTAAACTAGGTGCTTGTGCGCAATTACTCGCACCTCACCATTCCTACAATCACGTCAGTGCAATTTCAAGCTCATAATCGACATATATTTTTCTCGCGTTTCACTGCTATGCACATAAATTAAAGAGCCCTCTACAATTATTAACTTTCTTATAGCAGTAAGAGAGTAACTTGTTTATCACTTTTTGAAAGCATTAATATGTAAATCTTGATTTGTTGATCCAATCACAAAAGTCAGGGGGGAGCATTTTAATCAAAATCGAAACTTTTGAATAGGAAGTGAACTGGAATCAAAGGTTCCAGTTCGGTACCAAAAAAATTAGGAACCAAAATCGAGAATTGAAAATCAACTAGGTCCCAGTGATAAAAAATTTATCATTTTTCTAAATTTTTATTTTCAAAAATTTTTCACCCTAACCTAATAACTTTACCCAACAAGTATCAAGTTTGCAATACTCAGATAGCAAGTACCATAATCAACTAGATTCATTTTTTTTTTTTTGAGTAATTGAATCATATCATTCTCGTCGTACCCACTTTGACTACACTTTACACACCATCTACCTCTCAAATCTTTCTTGAGGCACTACAAGCATGGTTATAGCCAAAATGGGATGCTATTATGATAAATATTCGATTATATATTTAAAGTGTTGAAATGTATATTTTGTGACATTTTATTTTTTCCAATATATGTTTGGATTCGGATTCGATTCCAATATATGGACCCGTATGATTCCAATTACAAAAATGTCCGAAATGTAATGAATAGTTCCGGATATTAAAATAACACGACCAACCACCCGACATCCAAACCTAACAAAAGCACTTAACTCTTTAAATTACATACAGTTTTCTTAACTCCTTTATTTCAAAACTGACGCGGTGAACTTAGATATATATATTTTAAAAAAAATCAATTAAGTTTGATCAGATTCTCGTTAATTCTATAAATATTCAAGATTGGAAAAAGGACTAGAAAAAACTGATGTTCTTTAATTATCACTTCTAGTAGGAAACAACAAAAACCAACTCAAGCTTTAACTCCTATTTAAATATAGTAGAATAAAGGGAAGACCCTAATGACACAAAATGACGAAACAACCCTGTATAATGTCTTTCAATTAAACAACGTAAAAAAATCTGATTCGATAGATCACTTCCACGTCTATTCAGTACCTAGTTTCTATTGGATAAGAAACTTTTCCAACACACAGGCCATTTATATTTTAACTTTAAAACACCATTGCCCAACATACGTAATGTAATAGATGTGTATATTATATATATATATATACAAGAGTTATTCATGTAAAAGTCTATTTCTACTAGTCCAACTCTATTTTCTCTTTGCTGAGAATGGTCGATAATTCAGAAGCCAGTGCCTCCAACGATATCAAGGAACAAGACCGTTTGCTGCCTATAGCAAACGTTGGCCGGATTATGAAGCATATTTTGCCACAAAACGCCAAGATCTCAAAGGAAGCCAAAGAAACGATGCAAGAATGTGCGTCGGAATTCATCGGCTTTGTAACCGGAGAAGCATCGGAAAAGTGCAGAAAAGAGAGGCGAAAGACAATTAATGGTGACGATGTTTGCTGGGCTCTTGAAACTTTAGGCTTTGATGATTATGCTGGACCATTGAAAAGGTACTTGAATAAATATAGAGAGGTAGAAGGAGATAGGGCTAATCAAAACAAGGCAGGTGTTAATGAAGAAATGGGAGAACCTTCATGGAATACAAGTAATCAACCGAAAAATTAATTCTATGTATTTGTTAATGATCTACTTGCTTTTAATCTTGCTATATATCCTTGTACCCTAATTTGTTGGGAATAAGGTTGAGTAGTAGTTGTTGCGTTGACAATGAATTAAGCCATTTTGGCATGCGTTACACATATAGTTGATTTTGTTGATTTTTTATCTTAATGAACACATGTTTTGATTTAATTCATGATTGTTGATGAAGGTAGACTACAAGTTACAAATTACAATGGAGGTTCGTGAATATGCATATTTCTTGGTATTAATATTGCAATTTTTTTGATTTCTTAAGGAAATATATCTTATGTTTGTAAATTTACATTTAAATTTGATGTTCATACTATAATTCTCAATGCATAGTTCATGTTTGGGTGCAGTTACGGAGTTCTTGTATACGCGCAGCTCTTATATTTGCTCGTGAGTGTGGGTACAGGCCTAAGTAATTATGGTGTCTCCAAGTCTAAGACACCAAAAAGTCACTAGGTTATGTTAAGTTCATACAAATGTTGACATCAGCTTATCTTGGTTTATCTTCAGACATTGTGTAATAAATGACATTTCTTGAGTCAGTACCTCACTTCTGCATTATAATGGCCTTATCTTCTACATGAAAAACCCTAAGAAGGTGCTCCTCCAATGAGGAGGCGCCACTTGACTATTATGTCACCCCTTATGTAAGAGGTAATGTACTTGTAGCAACACCGTTATTTTAATGTACATTATAGCTTTTGAGGTTTCTTTGGGAAACTTGGGCTTGAATACTTACAATTATTAACAGATGGCAAAAAGTACAAGACAGGTAGGCCAAAAAAATGAAAGATTTGACATCAATGGCCAATGATACTTCAGTTTAGTACCATAAATCACGGTGTCTTCGAATGGGAGAGAAAATTTATACTGCATTTGTCCCATAAAAATAGATCTGATTCCATTTTTACACGAATTAAGAAATCTTATTATATGTTGAAACTATAAATTTTAGGGTGGATATATTATCACTATAATTTTTATTTGATACATCACGTTTTAACTACAATTAAACTTTTCAATATTTGTTCATTGTAGTAATTATTTTCTTAAATTTTTTTCTGTCGAACCCTTATCTTCAACAATCCATTAATTAGTATGTGTCGTTCTTGATGATAATTTATATCAAAATATTTTATTTTCATATTTTGATATGAGGGAAAAATAATTTTTCGCACTTTTATTTTTATTTTTTAAAATATAAAATGGAAAAATAAGTTATTTTACACAATTTCAACGGACTTTTGGATATAAAATTGTTATCAAATACAAAATGTGTTAAATAATGGAAAGTTTGAGGAAAAATGACATGTAAAATTGTTAGAGACATAAATGCTACAATGAGCAAAGATTAATAACTTTAAGTGCACTTAAAATGTGGTGTAAAAAATAAAAATTATGGTGTGAATATAATTACCCTAAATTTTTATTATATTTTTCCTATTATATTCCTATATTAAATAATGATAATTCATATTTGTTGATAACAAGACACATTGGATAAATATATATTCAAAAATTAAGGCATTAATTATACTCTCAATAAGAAAAATGACTTATAATTTAAGACAAACTAAAAAAAGGAAAGCAAATATATCTTTGTGGTAAGGAGGGAGTACTATTCAATGCTCAAATTCCACTTTGAAGTACAAATTTGAGAGTAGAACGTTTAGTTGTGCTTAAAGTTTCTTTTTAAAAGTAAATTGAAATTTACTTTTTCAAAACTAGTGTGTCCGTTAGTATAAAAAGTAGCTTTAAAAATGATATTAGACAAAGTTTGTAAGATTTCCTTCAAGAACAGTTACTTGTGTAGCAATTGTTAAGGATAATGTGGTGGTCTTAAAAGGAACTAAAATTATAACATGATCATGTTATTTATGTCGAGTTTACGTATTATGTAAATTTACTAAGATTTTTTTAAAAATGTCCTAGGAATCATCAAGAATAATCTTTCCGACCTAAGCTACATTTCTATGATCTCGTGTTTTTTTCTAACAATTGTGTCGTAATGTAAAACTTTCCAACCTTTTATTTTTCCGAGTTACAATATCTTACTAGATAGCATTTTAATTATGATTGTTTTATGTATAGAATGCCTATTGCTCGCTCAATATCAAATAAAATGGACAAAGTGGCTAGCTATTTTCAAATTACTAGCCATTAAAATTTTCAAAGTATTCTATAAATTGTGGAATGAGAATTATAAGACTTTCACCCGTATAGCGTTAATGTTTAATAAATAAACATCAGGATCTAAAATTAAGCAATTTACGATTACGTTGAAGATGCTCTTATAGCCCCATGTTGCCTGAAACTTGAAATTTCGTTTCGGTGAAGCCCTAAAAAAATTTGTCAAGTTCAACATTGGAATGTTATTGATATTCTACTAATAAGTCATCTCTCAACATGGGACCCCTAATCATTGATGAGCGTGACATATTACTCCCCAACTTACCTAATGCTGCACCTGAGTCTCCCAACCTTTGAAAATTGTGGCAACCAGCTAGGGAGCTGGGAGAAGTGTTTGTTGGGATATTCAATTATATATTTTAGTTTCTTTAATATTTCTTAATTCAAAATGCGGGGTATAATTGTACTTTCATTAAGATTTTGTATTCCATCGAAAGGTTGGGAACCCACATGCCACATTTGTAGGTTGTGGACCTACATGCCACACTCATCAAAAGTTGGGACTCTAGGAGGAATTTAGCCAATTTAAAATGAACCATAAGAGCATCTCCAATAAACTTAAGAATATCTTACATTACATATAATATAAATCATTTTAGGTACTCCAACAATACTCTTTATTTGGACTCTTCATTTTGTCTTTTTAAGAAACACTTATCGATTTCTCTACATCTTTTGTTTAATATATTTTTTTATTAGTCAATAAACAATCAATTTATATATGATTTGAATAATTTAAGGATTGAGATAATATGAAATATATAACATATTAAATGCAGATCTCTAATTTAAAAAGTTAAAATAGAGATTTTGTTCGATCAAGTATTGATCCTCTGACATAGATAGTATCTTACATTTAGAGAGTTCTTAAAAATGCTTTAAAACTCTTGATACTTGATAAGGTTATAGAAACCCAGCAAAGAAAGAATAAAACATAATATTCCGACTTTCCTCTGCATAAGGGTAGCATGAAGTTGTATGCATATTTATATTAAACCAATTGTAGATATATTTGGAAATACAGAACAATATGGAAGGAGCTAAAAGTGTGCAATGAGATGTCTAATATGTATTGGTTTCAAGTCTTTCCTTCTTTATAGGATTTGATATCATTCACAGAAAGATTTAACGAGTTTGTTCGCAATGATTCAGTAATACTCTTAATATCCCCCTCAAGCTGACTGCGGATGAAGGAGAAACAGTGAGCTTGGATCGTAGGAAATTAAACTGAGAGCGCGAAAAGCTCTTGGTGAACACATCAGCAATCTGCAGATTTGAGGGAATAAATTGAAGCTTGATTACACCAGTACCCACTTGTTCACGAATATAATGATAATCAATGGCAATGTGTTTGGAACGAGGCTGAGAAGCTGGATTTGCTGACATAAAAATTGCACTGTTGTTGTTACACAGGATGGTGGCGGGGTAACTTTAAAGAAGGCATGGTCAAAAGCCTCTAATTGCTTTTTGACTTTTTCACAAGGGAATAATTTTAAAATGACCTAACGGTGTTCAAAAGATAAAAATGTCCTTAATAGAATAAAACAATTACAAAATATGACTTTATTAAAAAGACAACACTACAATTTTAGTTAGCAAATAAAAATTAAACACTCCTTACATAAAATTACAAAATCGGCTCAAACACATATAAAAATTTTCTCATCTACTTAGTCACTATGAAAAACTCAAAAATATTAATAACTGAAAAAAAATTGTTTTCGGTCAATTACTCCGAATCGGTAAGTATATTTGCATATATTTAATTTCGTTTTCGTTAAATGTGTGTATGTTTTTACTCGATAAATTAAGATTCGACATAGGTGTTGGCAGATAAATTTTTTTAACAGATGTATAATTTTTTTAAGCATGAATGGGAAAAAGTTCATCTGTATAACTTTTCGATTGATTTGCCTTAACGGCTGTTACAAAAAACAACGAAAACTCGAGTGCTAACAACCGAAAAAATCAATGGAAACAGCCGAAAATGTCAGCTGGTAACAGCCTAAATTTCGGTTGTTAACAGCCAACATTTTTTGCTGTAACAGTTGATAATTTCGACTGTTAACAGCCATTTTTTTGCGGTTGTTAACAACCAATATTTAGGCTGTTAACAGCCGAATTCGACAATTTAGTCGGCTTTAGTTGGGCTGTTTTGTTTTTAATAAGTTTTCTATTTGGTTGTAAGTCGAATTTTTTATTGAATATTTACAAATTCTGTTTTGCCATAAACAGATATGACAATTATACTCTCGATTTGTTATTTTGGTGATTTTGAATTGGATGAAAATAATTGATGGACATGAAAATAGACAAATGACGAACAAAGTAATATGTCAACACATATAACAGAGACTACATCGTATGACGAACTGCACCATGATATACAGAACAAGCTGAACGTTGATTCATCTCGATACAATATGGTACTGAGATATCAATTCCAAGAGCATTTACCATTTTCAATTCCACCTGCAAAGGTTACATCTGATATTGACGCGAGTTATCGTTTAATTTAAACAAAATGCAAATGACACCAATTTGCATGACTTTATTTATGAAGGACGACGCAGAAGGTGGAAATGAATATTCGGGTGGAACTGATAATAATGCAAATGATTTTTGGAATACAGTGGAGATAGCTCGCGAGGATGACACTAATATTCCTGAGACAATTGTTCCTCATCGTGACATCACTGAGACGCACATAATTCAATCGGTTGTTCAGGATAGTGAGAGTGTAAATACATTTACAAACGAGGATTTAATTGTTTTATCCCGTCAGGGACATAAGTAGGGTGAGAGCTCAAGGGCCGGAACGAGCGGACCTTCATTTAATTCTTCACGTGTGGTTTCCGATGATAAAGGGAATTTGATTGTAAATCCAAAGGAAAAAACAATCAGAAACTATAGGTGAAACCGATGACACATAAAACTACTTGATTTATGGTGATGTGTTGGCTATATCTGACGGTGAGTCCAAACTTAATGAGGATTTGATTTTAGATACAGCTTCTGATCTTCATGTATTCCAATCGGGATTTATTTTCAATATATAAAATAGTTTCGATATGTGTCATGGTTATGGGAAATAAATCACCTTGTCGGTAGTTAGTATCGGTAGAATTAGACTTAAGCTAGTAGATGAGACAGAACACTTGATCATGTTCGAGATGTTCCAAATTTGAAGAAAAATCTTTTCTCATTGAGTATTCTTTATTCAAAATGATATAAGTTCTTTGGTGGAAGGTGGAAGTGGAGCTTTGAGGGTTTGCTAAGGTATCTGTGTTGTACTGAAGGGAGGAAAAAGTCTCAATTATACATCTTGCAAGGTTATGCAAAATTCGTGAAATCAGCAAAAGTTTAGTACCATGTGGATATTTAGTTTAGTACAATACTGTTGGGATTTGGTTTGGGGTCCATGTTAAAGAATACAGCTCAGTCGAGTTCAAATGATATGGGTAATGGTGCTTTATCAACACTTGTGATCGCATTCAATTACTAGGGAAGATCCAGTGAATATAGGTACGGGGATGCAAATTTTGTTCATCGTGCCTCCAGTGTATTTGAAGATGTTGAGTCTAGCAAGAGACCTTCTACATAGGGCTGTCAATGAATTGGATTTTGATCCAAATCCGATCTGAATCCGACGATAACAATCCGATCCGATTTATTATAATGCATGAATGGGAAAAAGTTCATCTGCATAACTTTTGGATTGGTTTGCCTTAACGGCTGTTATAAAAAACAACGAAAACTCGAGTGCTAACAACCGAAAAAATCGATGGTAACAGCCGAAAATGTCAGCTGGTAACAGCCTAAATTTCGGCTGTTAACAGCCAACATTTTTTGCTGTAACAGCTGATAATTTCGACTGTTAACAACCATTTTTTTGCGGTTGTTAACAACCAATATTTAGGCTGTTAACAGTCGAATTCGATAGTTTAGTCGGCTTTAGTTGGGTTGTTTTGTTTTTAATAAGTTTCTATTTGGCTGTAAGTCGAATTTTTGATTGAATATTTACAAATTCTGTTTTGCCATACACAGATATGACAATTATACTCTCGGTTTGTTATTTTGGTGATTTTGAATTGGATGAAAATAATTGATGGGCATGAAAATAGACAAGTGACGAACAAAGTAATATGTTAACACATATAATAGATACTACATCGTATGACGAACTGCACCATGATATACAGAACAAGTTGAACGTTGATTCATCTCGATACAATATAGTATTGAGATATCAATTCCAAGAGCATTTACCATTTTCAATTCCACCTGCAAAGGTTACATCTGATATTGACGCGAGTTATCTGTTTAATTTGAACAAAACGCAAATGACACCAATTTGCGTGACTTTATTGATGAAGGACGACGCAGAAGGTGGAAATGAACATTCGGATGGAACTGATAATAATGCAAATGATTTTTGGAATACAGTGGAGATAGTTCGCGAGGATGACACTAATATTCCCGAGACAATTGTTCATCATCGTGACATCACTGAGACGCACATAATTCAATCGATTGTTCAGGATAGCGAGAATGTAAATACATTTACAAACGAGGATTTAATTGTTTTATCCCGTCAGGGACATGAGTAGGGTGGGAGCTCAAGGGCCAGAACGAGCGGACTTTCATTTAATTCTTCACGTGTGGTTTCCGATGATAAACGGAATTTGATTGTAAATCAAAAGGAAAAAACAATCAGAAACTATAGGTGAAACCGATGTCACATAAAACTACTTGATTGATGGTGATGTGTTGGCTATATCTGACGGTGAGTCCAAACTTAATGAGGATTGGATTTTAGATACAGCTTATAATCTTCATGTATTCCAATCGGGATTTATTTTCAATATATGAAATAGTTTCGATATGTGTCATGGTTATGGGAAATAAATCACCTTGTCGATAGTTAGTATCGGTAGAATTAGACTTAAGCTAGTAGATGAGACAGAACACTTGATCATGTTCGAGATGTTCCAAATTTGAAGAAAAAGTTTAGTACCATGTGAATATTTAGTTTAGTACAGTACTGTTGGGATTTGGTTTGAGGTCCATGTTAAAGAATACAGCTCAGTCGAGTTCAGATGATATGGGTAATGGCGCTTTATCAACACTTGTGATCGCATTCAATTACTAGGGAAGATCCTGTGAATATAGGTACGGGGATGCAGATTTTGTTCATCGTGCCTCAAGTGTATTTGAAGATGTTGAGTCTAGCAAGAGACCTTCTACAAAAGCATTTGGTGTTGATTCCGTTTTAGGATGTGTTTCGATCTTATTTGGTAAATTTTAAATCATTTGTGATTTTTGGTTGAACCTAAGATAATTTTGAGAAGCAGTACTTTGATTCATTTAACTTAGTTGGATATCGTGGAAGAGGTAATTCTGCAGACGAATTTTTTCTCCAGGTAGAGAAATTTTGAAATTTTGTTTGTTGCAGTGGAATTTGTGTCGATGCTGAGATTATTGAGTTTGTTATCCGAATTCGATTGGATTTTTTATTGGGACAATATTCTTTCCATTATTTCACGGATTTTTATTTAAAAAATGTTGTTTCATTTATTTTACACGTTTTTTTATTGAAATTATTGTTTCATTTATTGTTTTTTTTTTTTTTTAACAGAAGTTAGAATAATTGCGAAATACAATTATTGTAATTTTTTCTCCATTATAATTATAATTGAATAAAATCTCTAATCCTCTGGTCTAATTAAATTATGGTCTTTACTGTGATTTACACTGCATATTGTACCGTGTAATATCGTACCGCCCCAACACTAAAGTTACACAAACTAATTTGTCCGGGTCTCTATCTTGTCCGAATGAATATCACGTGCTGCAGCCGCCTGCTAGTTTGGAGCATTGTGCTTCGCTTTTCCACTCAAGGATATGGCATCTTGGTTTAACCATACTTCATGGAATCAGATGGTCTAAATTATTAAATTAATTTAAAGGATAGGTGGGTCCATCCAAGTATTTAACGGTCACTAAGACTTTTCAAAACTACATTCTATGTACCAATTATACACTCAATTAATAACAAACATTTGACAAAGAGACAAAACAAATATGTTAGCTCAACGGATCAGTGCAGCAAAGTCTGCACCATCACATGCATCAACAAATCAAGTATTTCAATTGTAAAATTTAAATTTAAAAAAAAAATACAAATAGCTAATTCATTCTATTCAAGATCCGGATGACTCATAAAATTTTAATGAACTCGGCAGCAAAATGAGAATATCGAACATGAAAAATTAGAACTCAAACATAATATTAATATGTGCCGACGCATAATCCTAGGGAAAAAGGAGCGGTAAAAAATTATCATAAATCAATATCTTGCCGAAATATCCAAACATAAAGGGTCGGTCCAACAAATTACGTGACCATATAGATGGGCACGAATGAGGTTGAAATCCTATTGTGGTGGTTGTTAAGCTCCCTGAGGTTAAGGTAAGGGATCTCCACCTCATCTTTACTCAAACTCCCGGCGAGTGGACCCGAGGACGGCCGGCTTGTGGTGATCCGGTAAGGCGTGGTAGACCCACTTCTGCTCTCAGTAATGTACACAGGACCAGATATTGATCCTATGCGATGGCGCCCCAGGTGACTGATATTATTGCAACTGCCAGAGGCGGTGGGAGCTCCGCCGCCAGGTGGAGCCCATTTGTTCCACTTGAAAAGGAGCAAGGCATTCCTCCACCACCGCATTTTGTTCTTCTTGATCTTCTTTTGGGAATGTTCAATATTTTCATCAGTGGAAATTGGTTGTTGAAGCTTAAAGTGCAGCGTATCTATGGATGTTAAACTCTCCTTGTAATTCTTGGCTTCTTCCAAAACCTAGTCGAAGATAAACAGTGTTAAGAAAAAAAAAAAAAACTAAAATCTTGTCGAGTTTCGACTGAGTAGTTACCTGAAAATAGTTTATTTGAGGGTCAAAGCTGTAGTTACTAAAGTGTTGAGGTTCTGGTATAGGAAAAATGGGAGCTTTATTTGACATTAGGCTTCTTCTCTGCAAAAATATAGTGCTGAAGCTTTTTCTGTGCTCTAGTTTTGCTTTTGCTTAATTCTTCAAGGGGTTAGTGGGGTTATGTAAATGCAGGTTTGTGGGCTCAAGGTGGAGGGAATGGCCGTTGGGTTTTGGGAACCCCTAGTCAATGCGCTTGCATCTTTTATTGGACGTGGTACTGGTACATGATGACTTGTATACAAATTACAAGGTATCAATAAATGATGTTTATACAAAATGATACCCCTTCGTCCAATTATATAGGTTGAGTTTCTTTTTTCTCTTATCCCAAAAAAATAGACTTGTTGTGTTCATTTACTAATATACCCTTATTAAATTTTTTCCAATTAATATGCCGATTTCTTGAAATCGTTCAAATACACACATTTCCTACTTCTTGGAAACATAGAAAAACTCTAATTTCTTTATTAGTTTCAACAATAATTTAGTTTTACATACTAAAAATTAAATAGGGATAAATTAGGAAAGATTTTGACAAAAAATAATTTTTCAATGAGATTAAAAAAACTTTCTTTATCCTTGTGTAAAAAACGAAACAAGTCTATATAATTGAGTCGGAAGGAGTTTTAGATTACAAGCGACTATGCCAATCGCAATATTAGTTTGCTAGACAATTCGATGGAGTAACGATATATGTGGAGAGTGGAGAATATTTATGGAATGTACGAGTTGAAATCGTAAACTTGAAATTATATTATACGTTGTAAGAGCACTCATGTTTACCCACGAATTTGGATGGTTAAGTGGGACAAGTGTCGCCATCGAGAGTAGCACGTGACACTCATCTTACATATTTGGCAGCGATGCCACTCATGAAACCAACATGTTGCTTTCATATTGTAAGTGCATGGAGTCTTGTGTAAACACTTCGGTGACGGTCAAATGTAAGACTTGTACGAGTAAATACTTCGGTAAAGCGGATGGAGGCTAAGTCTTGGGCTTGACCATATTCGATGGGCACAGATGTGCCTTGGTTGGTTCTGAGAAGTTGGCTCCATCCAGCAAGTTGTCAATGGGATCCAACCAAAAACTTGATATCAATAATGGAAGTGGGCCTGGTGGGCCGGTGCGGATGAATGGTTTACCATCTAGGAATCTAGCGGCCACTACGGCGAAGATGGTAACAACACCAAGCCCTTGTTTGATCCCATTATTTTTAAAATATTTTTTTTCTCTTCTTTTCAACGATACATTTTTCAATCAAATAATATTACACACAAACCCAATTATTTTTTTTTTAAACTACACATTTTCCATCAATCGCTATTCAAAAATGCATTTTTGACCAAATAATGGGGCTCAAACAAGACCCAATTGTGAAGGATTCAATGTTGTGAGAGCATAAGCCAACCCCTTAACACTTGCAACCTAAGGTGCACAAGCCACCCCTTTCACACGTGTAATCTTCTGTTCAAAAGAAACCATTGATACAAAGAAAGCAGTCTAAAGGAACTGTCAAGGCAAAGGTCATACCAAAACAGCCTGTGACATCCTCTAGACCTCAGGTATGGCCAACTTTTAATTCATCGAGCAGTTAATGGTATGTGATCATAAAAGTTGCTATGTTTTGATTGGAAGCTGTTGATTAAAGGCTTACCATTCACTTGAGTCTGAGAGATAAATGTAAAAATTTCCATTTTCATCTTTCACTTAAAAATTTCTCTCTTTTTTTTTTTAAATAGTTGATTTTGCTTGGCAATTTATTTTCCTTGGACCCTTAAGTCTGTTGCACATACCGCTAACACTTTGTAAGGTGTTGAATAAAGGGCTTCTAAAGAACTGACCTTGATGTACTATTCAACTCTCTTTTGATCTGGACCTTTTCATTGCTGTGCGATTGCGCATGCTTATATATTTTTGGGCGGAGTACATTTTTGGGCAGAGAATGGAAGAACAAGCAAACAATAATTCCTACAGAGTTTCAGATATATGCTAACATTTCTCCTTTTTGAAAAAAATGGAATAGTGTAGCTCAGATTTAGTCCTTTAAGAAAGTCATTATATATTGGAATTTCACAAAACTTCCAACTTGCCAAAATTCAGTCATACTACCTTCATGCTGCCTCATTATACAGATTTTTCAGACTGTCTCAACCAACTAATTTTCTCCAGGACCTCTGAAAATTGATGAATAAAGAATGAGGAAAATAAAATATTTGAACATTAGGAGAATGTGAGTTACATGAAAACTGTAAATGTTTGGTTGATTCAAAGAAGGTACCAGGTGAGACAGGGGGGGGGGGGGGGGGGGGTCTACGAATATGAAACTCTTGAAACTTGCTCTCTTCAACTTTTTTTTCCCTCTATCATCTGTGTTTTTTTTTTTTTTGCCCTTCTCGAACCTAGCTGTTTTCAAAGGAAGGACGAATGGTTAAATCCTTCGCTTCCTATCAATGTGATTACAAGTTATTACATAAAAAATAACACAGTATGTCATGTTCTTTGGACAAAATAAGTTTCTATAGAGTTCAATTTGATTTTATAAACATCCCACTTGAGTACTAATTGTTTACGGAATATGATCAGAACAATGGCAAATCAATTACAGTTGTTGAAAACAGGGGTAAGAAAGGATGTGTGCAAGTAAATGGGAATACGATTACGAAAAATACTAGCTATCATCTCAATTCAACGGATAAGGTGGTCTTTAGGTTTCTTCAAAATCATGCTTACGTATCCTCCATACTTGTTTGCAGTTGTTAGTTGTTGATTTTCATTTCCGATTTCTTTCAATTATGTTTATTTTCCTTTGCCCACGTGAAATGCCCTTAATTTTTTTAGTATAGATTTCCCGACAACATAATGACCATGTAATGAAGACGCCTCCATCAGATGTTCATAGCTTAGACAAGTTGATTCACACTAAGAGACAAGCACAAGATATGTAACATGTACCTGTCTGTGTCCTCCTTGACGATGCTCTAATGTAATTTCTTATTTCTCCTTCATTTTTTATTACTACTATTAGGTCCAATGTTGTAATTGGCATATTTGTGAACAAAATGATCTTAATTGAACACTTGTAAAAAGTCAAGGATTTGGATGCAATTTTATATAGATGAGTTAAGTTAAGGTTAGAGGTTGAAAACAAGGAAAATGCGGCGTCGAAATTTCGCTAGCTGCTCGTGTGACTCACACTCGAGCGTCAGAACCAAAAACATTGTCGCTCTTTTCGCCTTAATGTCGCTCGAGCTACAGCTCCCTCGCTCGAGATAAAGATTCTCTCGCTCGAGCGACATATTTATGCGACTAAACCTAGTTCGCGATTTTGGGGAGTTTTACATGGCACATTCTGTTCATACACCTTCAACTATAAATACAGAGGCTCTTGCACGAAAATTGGTGGTTGCTTTATTGTACTTTCATTGTATAACACATTCACATCATATTTTGTGATATCCAAAAGCATAATTATTTGGTGATTCAAAGGCTAGGAACATTTTCTGGTAAAATTCTGGTAAAATTCCCTATACTCAGGGAATTTTCCGTGCAAGTAAATGGGAATACGATTGCGAAAAATACTAGCTATCATCTCAATTCAACGGATAAGGTGGTCTTTAGGTTTCTTCAAAATCATGCTTACGTATCCTCCATACTTGTTTGCAGTTGTTAGTTGTTGATTTTCATTTCCGATTTCTTTTCAATTATGTTTATTTTCCTTTGCCCACGTGATATGCCCTTAATTTTTTTAGTATAGATTTCCCGACAACATAATGACCATGTAATGAAGACGCCTCCATCAGATGTTCATAGATTAGACAAGTTGATTCACACTAAGAGACAAGCACAAGATATGTAACATGTACCTGTCTGTGTCCTCCTTGACGATGCTCTAATGTAATTTCTTATTTCTCCTTCATTTTTTATTACTACTATTAGGTCTAATATTGTAATTGGCATATTTGTGAATAAAATGATCTTAATTGAACACTTGTAAAAAATCAAGGACTTGGATGCAATTTTATATAGATGAGTTAAGTTAAAGTTAGAAGTTGAAAACAAGGAAAATGCAGCTTCGGAATTTCGCTAGCTGCTCGTGTTACTCACACTCGAGCGTCAGAACCAGAAACATTGTCGCCCGCTTTTTGCCTTAATGTCGCTCGAGCTACAGCTCCCTCGCTCGAGATAAAGATTCTCTCGCTCGAGCGACATATTTATGCGACTAAACCTAGTTCGCGATTTTGGGGAGTTTTACATGGCACATACTGTTCATACACCTTCAACTATAAATACAGAGGCTCTTGCACGAAAATTGCTGGTTGCTTTATTGTACTTTCATTGTATAACACATTCACATCATATTTTGTGATATCCAAGAGCATAATTATTTGGTGATTCATCAATAGCATTCTTGAGATCCGACAATCAAGTTTTGGGAAAATATCAAGGCTCGTGAATTCAAAACACCTAACTTCCTTAACACTTTGAGGAATGTACTTTCTCAATTAGATTTCAGAAGTTTCTGAAAGTCGTGAGAGCTTGGACTACCAGCGCAGGAAGAAGAACATGAATATGTGATTTCTGGATATCCACTTGGAAGAGACAATTGAAGAAGACTGGGAATCTAGAATTTAGAGCGAATCTTTGAAGCTATAAGAGGTAGATCGGGAGATCTAGCAGGTTGGCTAGATAGTATCTACGTTAGCGAATCGTGAGTCTGGAGGAACATTAGATCTTGGAGATTACATGAATTACAACAGCGGGAACTAGTGAAATTTGCTACGCTGGAAACGGACTGTAATCCATATTGTCTATAGTGGAGGTTAGTTGGCTTGGTCCTTGAGTTTTTATCTAGTTGGGTTTCTCCGTCATCATTTTGGCGTTCATTCTTTATTACTTTCCATATTACAAACTGTTGTATTCAAACATAGGATAATTGAATTGTATGCTTAATCATTTAGAAATTAATTAAAAATGACTTGTTACTTTAATTAACGTAATTCAACACGTAAGGTCAAACTTAGTTAGTAAACAACGTATTTTCAACTACACTCCTGAAAACAAGTGCAATAGTTTGGTCTTATATCCAACATGTGTTTAAAAAATATCCCTCATGTCAAACTTGTTGAAGAACCACAAAGATAAAAAAAAAAATTTATGTACATTGTTATTAAAGTATGTCCAGCTCTAATGGAATTGTTACATTTTCTATTTTTCCGATTAGGAAATGATGGATTACATTAAATGGCACTATATGTATACATTATCTTGTGCTAGCATTAAGTCCCATTCCTTACTTCGGGCTCTACATTTTTCCGCTGAAATTCTTAATTCAACATTTTATCTTCCAATTGGAGAAGCTAAATAAGTTCATTTGTACTTCTACTTGCATCATACATACTAATAACTTAACATCTCTTCGATTTTTCTAGAAGCAGCGAGCGCAGATAAAAGAAGTTATAATCACTACATTTTAAAAAAAAGGTAATTAGCACATAACGTCCACACCTTTCATTGTTTTTGTAGAAAACATTTCTACCTTTCAATTTTTTAACATTTTCACCCTTATTTCTACATTCCATTGCGCAAAAGGTCATTTTCACCTATTTTCTCAATTAAAAATTATGAAATGACGAATATGACATTCTCTTTAAATAAAAAAAAAGAAAAAAAAATAATTGTAATCATAGTCCAATTTTTTTTTTAAAAAAACTCAAATAAGTCACAAATAAATTATTAAAAAGGTAATTAACACATAATGTCCCAATATTTTCCTATTATTGCAAAAAAACCATCCATACCTTTTATTTTTTTTGTATTTTCATCCTTAATTACACATTTAATTGCGCAAACCATCATTTCTATCCATTTTCATACAATGTCTCAATAAAAAGTTGTGAAATGACGAATATACTTTCCTATTTAAATAATAAAAAATATTTTTAATTTCTAATTCTTTAATAATTTATTTGGGACTCATTTTCACTTTTTAATTTTTTAATTTTTTTAAATTTTTAAATACATTTAATCGGGACTCGTTGGCACTTTTTAAAAAATATATATTTTTAAATAATTTATTGTGGACTTGTTTGCACTTTTAAAAAAATTAGGACTATGGTTGCAATTAATTCTTTAGTTTTTTTATTGAAATAAGAGGGTATATTCGCAATTTCACAGTTTTTAATTGAGAAATTGGATGGAAATGGATATAAAGAGGGTTTGCGCAGTTAAATGTGTAATTAATTGTAAAAATGCTAAAAAAAAATAAAAGGTAGGGACTTTTTTGCAATAATAGTGAAATGTATGGACATTATGTGCTAATTATTATTTTAATAATTTATTCTCAATAAAAAGTTGTGAAATGATGAATATACTTTCATATTTAAATAATAAAAAATATTTTTTAATCGGGACTCGTTGGCACTTTTTTTAAAAAATATATTTTTAAATAATTTATTGTGGACTTGTTTGCACTTTTAAAAAAATTAGGATTATGATTGCAATTAATTCTTTAGTTTTTTTTTATTGAAATAAGAGGGTATATTCGCAATTTCACAGTTTTTAATTGAGAAATTGGATGGAAATGGATATAAATGAGGGTTTGCGCAGTTAAATGTGTAATTAATTGTAAAAATGCTAAAAAAAAATAAAAGGTAGGGACTTTTTTGCAATAATAGTGAAATATATGGACATTATGTGCTAATTACTATTTTAATAATTTATTTGTGACTTATTTGAGCTTTTTAAAAAATTTAGGACTGTGATTGCAATTAATTTTTTTCTTTTTCTTTTTGTTTTATTTAAAGATAAGGGTGTATTCATTATTTCATAATTTTTAATTGAGAAAATAGATGAAAATAACATTTTGGGCAATGAAAAATGAAAGGTATGGACGTTTTTCACAACAACAATAAAAGGTGAGGACGTTATGTGCTAATTACCCTTTTAAAAATTATCAAAGTAACTTCATTTTACTGATCTCATTCAACAGAAGTATCTATCGTCAATCCTTAACATTCAAGACACTAATATTAACTTCAAAATAATACAACACATGCATTGCACGGGCAAAAAACTAGTGCTATAAAAACAAGGAATACATTCAATTCATTGCAAGTCCAACAATGAAGATAATAGCCTAGGAAAATACGTGGAAAGTGAACCAAGTTGAGAAATTGGTCAGGGAATGATACTCAATTCAACTATATAAATAGTTTGCAACTTAATTAAATTTTGGTATAATCTAGAGTGGCTTTTCACTTCTATTTTGCTTTAGTTGAATTTCGCAGTAGATAATTGCACAAGGCTGTCAAATTACCTAGGCCTTGTCTAGTGCAGCTGAATGCTTCCATTTTCAGCCTTTTTTTGACTGTTACCAATGGTTGGCAGGTCCCACCTAACTCACATGTAGTCAAAAATTGTTGGCCACTTTTGAAAATAACAGGCAGAAGAGCCATTTTTTGTGGACAAAAATCTGCACCAGACACACGCCTAAATTCAGAAGCCTGGTTAATAGAAAACGATAATGCTAACTATCGTAACTAAAACCCATTTTGCAACTTCCTATCTTCCTTGGCCAGCCATTGAAAGGGGCCTGCCAGGGCTTGTTAGGAGTTTGATTCGTGTCTTCTACGGACTTACAATTGAGAGGTACAAGCGTGGTTGGTCGAGGTACAATTTAGGCAGACGCGCCTAACTGACAAGGTGGTGGAATTTGTACTCCATTGTAACCTACTTGTGCATTAGCACAAAGTAGCACTGAGTTTCAAATTACCTTGGAATTTTAAATTGACATTGTTAAGATGGATGTTTTGACATGGAACTTGCGAGCTGCACATCAGATTGACAGCAACTGGTGATGATGTAGTTCCTTGTACATTTTGGTATATAACATCACTGATTTTCACAAGAGATGGCTGTTGAAAGTGTTGGAACTTGGTTTTAAGAATTGAAATTTAGGCCTGTTTGATAAGTCAAATTTTCCAAGGAACATGTTTGATAGACTCAATATTCCAGTCAAAAATTTTTCCATTTCCCCCTCAGGCGCCCTATTTTCCACCAAAACAAGGAATATCATTTCCCATCTTTCAGCTGGTAATACATTTTCCAGGGAAGATAGAATTCACAAAACCAATTTCCCTTTCCCTTTCCTTGTCCCTTCACCCCGGAACCCGCTCTCATCCTCTCACGCCGAATCGATTATTGCCATTTTCCAGTTCAGCCCAGCCGACGACCATCTTCTGCAGTCGTCTCTCACGACGAACCCTGCGTCGCTTCCTCCGGCGTAGAAGCGGGTATGGTTCGTTGTGCACTCATCAAAGTCTCTGTTTTCTTGTTGAAGCTTTCCACTTTACAAGTCAAATTTGAACTTGGAATGAATTGTATTGTTTATTTTTGGTTATATTCTCGATAATTCTGTAATTAAGTCCAAATGAATCATTTCATCATTTTCGGTGGGGACAGGATTCCCCATTATTCATCTTCTTTTACAATGGGTTTCATTTTTTGTTTTTGTTCTGCAATTTCATAACATGGGCTTTATGTTATTTATTTTTGGTTTTTACATCTGGATTTGTCAATTTGATTATGTTTTGGTGTAATTTTGCTGGATTTTTTTCTCAACCATTCTTACTTTGATTCCACTTTTGTGATTCGTCGAAATTCAGAATGACCCAAGAAAAAGTCGCTATCAAAACTGAACTGCTTGAAGTTGAAAAGTCACGCTTTTTAAACCTTGCGGGCTTACTTTATTCTTATTTTTTTCCACTTCAATTATTTTTAAATGTGAACTTGAAGCTTATTTTAAATTATTTCTTTTATTTTCTGCTTTTGGATTGGATCTTTTAGCTCATTATGTTTGCAGAAAATGATAATGGAAGAGAAGATTTGAGAATTAGGTCGATGGCATTTTTGTTTAGGGACCTAATCAAAAGCATCAGTTTGTTATATGGTGGTGGAGGTGTACAAGAATACTATGTGAGGAAATTTGGGAATGAAGTAGACCGGTGGAGTTGTGATAATTTGCCTTGGTTTAGTTTTGGTTGTGAGTTACAGTTTTATAGAAAAAACTGAATCTCCCAAAAAGCAGTCTACATATGAATTTTTCAATAACCATCCATCTGGGTAGGATAATGTAGATGAAAAGGCCGATGTTGAGCAATCCAAAAAAAAAATGGAAAGGCTGGAGTGGATTTTTTCCGGGGGAGAATTTGATGAAGGAACCTGTTAGTATTTTGAATACATGGACTAAAGAATCCGGGTGGGGCAAGGAGGAAAAGTGCCATAATCATGTTTCAACTAATGTCCTAATATTGAAACATAACCAATGCAGTATATAAAATGTCTCGAAGGTATGGCAGTTGTACAACAGTCTTCTCTCCTGAAGGTCGTCTCTATCAGGTAGAATATGCGATGGAGGCCATTGGGAATGCACGGAGTGCCATAGGAATATTGTCCACAGATGGGGTTGTGTTGGTTGGAGAAAAGAAAGTGACTTCCAAGCTTCTACAGACCTCAGCATCCACAGAGAAAATGTACAAGATTGATGACCATGTCGCATGTGATGTGGCTGGAATTATATCTGATGCCAACATCCTTATTAACACTGCCAGAGTCCAAGCTTAGTGATATACCTATGTTTACCAAGAACCAATGCCAGTTGAACAGCTAGTTCAGTCTTTGTGCGACACCAAGCAAGGCTACACTCAGTTTGGTGGGCTCCGTCCATTTGGTCTCTTTCCTTTTTGCAGGGTGGGATAAAAATTATGGGTTCTAGCTCTACATGAGTGACCCAATTGGGAATTACAATGGTTGGAAGGCTGTAGCAATTGGTTCAAACAATCAGGCAATTCAATCAATGCTTAAGCAGGACTACAAAGATGAAATCACAAGGGAAGAGGCTGTTCAACTTGCTCTGAAGGTACTCAGTAAGGCAATGGGTAGCACTAGTCTTACTTCAGAGAAACTTGAATTGGCTGAGGTTCTCCTTTCTAATGGAAAAGTGAAGTATCAGGTCTGCTCACCAGTGGCCTTGGGTGAGTTGTTAGCGAAGTTTGGAGTCACCCAACCTGCTGTCGATGCCTCTTAATAACTCAAATCTAGTTTGTCCATTTTCTTATCTTAGTTGTTACATAATGCAATTTTCTTTTACTTCTCTAGTTGTTGTGGAATTGTAAGTAAATGAACTTTGTACATTCATAAAGTTTTCGGGATGTGATAAGTTTTGAGAGAATGAAAATCGAAGTTTTCAAAGAGTTATTGGCTTATAATAATAGTTGATTATTATATTAGGAAAAAAGATTTTAAAAAATCTCTTCCAAGAAAACCTTAATAATTTCTTAATCACGATTTGATAAGGTGACTATAAAACATAAACATGTAAATTATTGATCTACATCAATAGTTGGAAAAAAAATTCCATGGAAAACAAAGTCTATCAAACAGTTAAAGATGGAAAAAATCATAATTTTCCATGGGAAACAAAAGCAATCAAAAACCAAAAGATGGAAAATCTCAACATTTTATAGGTGGAAAATTATACCAATCAAACACAACTAACTGACATTTCCCGAGAAAATAAGTTCTAGGCAATTATTTTCCCTGTAATTCGTTTTCTTTCCACCCAATTTTCCAAGGAGCAATCAAACGGACCCTTAGTTAAGTATAAAACTTGAAAAGTGACTTTATGTCAACTTCGACAAAATATTCGAAAATGATCCGTTAGTCAAATTACGAAAGTAAATAAACTAATTTATTCTATTTGTCAAGTAAATCATCGTAGTATATTTGGAATCTAAAAATCAATTTCGGATGAATGAGAAATTATGGTCCAAAGTTTGAAAAAAATTAGGGATTCAGCATGTGAAGTTGTCGCTCAAGTGATATGCTAGTGCTACGCGAGCAACAAACTCTCTGCTTTTGGCACTCAAGTGACGCTTAAGCGATAAACGAACAACATCAAAGGTTGCGACCCTTGGCTAAGATTGTTGAGTTTCGAGACGTGCCTTTCCACCTCACCCCTTCACTTTTTATATAAAAGACCACTGGGGCGTTTATTATTCATTCCATTCCATTTTTACACTTTGATTTTGCTTTAAAAAACCATTTCAAAATTATGTTATTTTCTAGGGATGACAACGGTTCAGTTCGGGGTTGGTTTGGCCAATACCATAACTGCACTACCAACTTTTTGGCCATTCCATAACCGCACCATAACCACGTAAGTCAGCTCGGTTCGGCTTGGTTTGTATCTAGGTTCGGTTCGGTTAATAATCACGAAAATACATTATTTTTTATAAGTCCAAACTCCAACTGTCAAATTGAAAAAAAAAAACATTATGAAGAAAAATCAATAAAAACAAAAAACAAAATACTTAGCCAATTTAGCAAACAATATCCTAACTTCCAAATTAAGAAAAATCAATAAAAACAAAAACATAATACTAAGCCAATTTAGCAAACAATATCATAAATAAAAATGCAAACAATATCCTAACTTCCAAATGTAAAATTCGAATTTAACAAACAATAATATCAACATAGGTGAAGACTCTTACTAGCATATATCAATCTTCATTCTTCCCCCACAACTCTTACTAGGATAGGTCAAGAGTCAAGACTCAAAATTG